GAACTCAACAACAAAAACAACAGTAGAAAACATGTAAACAGTTGGAAGCTGAACAACACATTGCTCAATGATCAGTGGGTCATTGATGAAATAAAAGAAGAAATTAAAAGGTTCCTGGAAGTTAATGAAAATGAAAACACGACCTACTGGAACCTATGGGACACAGCAAAGGCAGTCTTAAGATGAATGTTTATACCCATGTGTGCATACATTAAAAAGTCAGAAATTTCTCAAATCAATGACCTAATGCTACATCTCAAACTCCTAGAAAAACAAGAACAAGCAAAACCCAAAACAAGCAGAAGGAGAGAAATAATAAAAATAAGGGCTGAAATTAATGAACTAGAAACAAAAAGAGAAAACATACAAAGAATCAACAAAACCAAAAGCTGGTTCTTTGAAAAAATAAACAAGATTGACAGACACCTGACAAACCTGACTAAAATGAAGAAAGAAAAAAACCCAAATCAGTAAAATCAGAAATACAAAAGGAGAGATAACAACAAACACCACAGAAATCCAGGGAATCGTCAGCGACTATTTTGAGAACCTATATTCAAATAAATTTGAAAATCTTGAAGAAATGGACAAATATCTAGCTACTTCTGACTACCCAAAATTGAATCAAGAGGATATTAATCACCTGAATAGATCTATAACACAAAATAAAATTGAAGCAGCAATAGAGTCCCCCAAAAGAGAAAAGTCCAGGACCTGATGGATTCTCAGCTGAATTCTATCAGACCTTTAAAGAAGAACTGATACCAACCCTCCTTAAACTGTTCCATGAAATAGAAAGGGAAGGAAAACTGCCTAACTCATTTTATGAAGCCAGTATAACACTCATCCCAAAACCAGACAAAGACACCTCCAAAAAGGAGAATTATAGGCCAATCTCTTTAATGAACATTGATGCAAAAATCCTCAACAAAATAATGGCAAATCGAATCCAACAACATATCAGAAAGATCATTCACCACAACCAAGTTGACTTCATCCCAGGGATGCAGGGGTGGTTCAACATACACAAATCTATAAATGTAAATACAGCACATTAATAGAAGCAAAGACAAAAACCACTTGGTCATCTCAATAGATGCAGAAAAAGCCTTTGATAAGATCCAACACCACTTCATGACAAAAGCCCTAAGAAAACTAGGAACAGAAGGAAAGTACCTCAACATTGTAAAGACTATATATGACAAACAACCTATAGCCAACATCATACTTAACAGTGAAAAACTGAAACCATTTCCCCTAAAATCAGGAACGAGTCAAGGGTGCCCACTATCCCCACTCCTATTCAACATAGTACTAGGATGCCTAGCCAGAGCAATTAGGCAAGAAGAACAAATAAAAGGAATACAAATAGGTAAAGAAACTGTCAAAATATCCCTGTTTGCAGATGATATGATCCTATACCTTAAAGACCCAAAAACTCTACCCAAAACTCGTAGACACCATAAACAGCTACAGCAAGGTGGCAGGATACAAAATCAACTTACAAAAATCATTAGCTTTTCCATACACCAACAATGAACAAATTGAGAAAGAATATATGGAAACAATTCCATTTATAATAGCCTCAAAAAAAAATCAAATACCTAGGAGTAAACTTAACGAAGGGTGTGAATGATCTCTACAAGGAGAACTACAAACCCTTGAAGAAAGAGATAGAGGAAGACTACAGAAGGTGGAACGGTCTCCCATGCTCATTGATTGGTAGAATCAACATAGTAAAAATGGCTATACTACCAAAAGCAATCTACATGTTTAATGCAATTCCCATCAAAATCCCAATGACATCCATCAAAGAGATTGAAAAATCTACCCTAAAGTTCATTTGGAAACACAAGAGGCCACGAATAGCCAAGGCAATACTCAGCAAAAAGAGCAATGCTGGAGGTATCACAATATCCAACTTCAATCTATATTACAAAGCAATAGCAATAAAAACAGCATAGTAGTGGCACAAAAACAGATATGAAGACCAATGGAACCGAATAGAGAACCCGGATATGAATCCACACGGCTATGCCCACCTTATTTTTGACAAAGTCACCAAAGACATATGATGGAGAAAAGACAGCCTCTTCAACAAATGTTGCTGGGAAAAGTGGTTATCTGCCTGCAAAAAAGTGAAACTAGATCCATGTTTATCACCCTGTACTAGTATCAACTCAAAATGGATCAAGGACCTTAATATCAGACCCAAAACTCCGAAGTTAGTACAGGAAAGAGAGGAAATACTCTGGAAGCAATAGGTATAGGCAAGGACTTCCTCAGTAGAACCCCAGCTGCTCAGCAACTAAGAGAAAGGATGGACAAATGGGACTATATAAAATGAAAAAAGGTGCTGCACAACAAAAGAAATGGTCTCTAAACTGAACAGACCACTCACAGAGTGGGAGAAAACATTTGCCAGCTACACATCAGATAAAGGACTGATAACCAGAATATACAGGGAACTTAAAAAACTAAACTCTCCCAAAATCAATGAACCAATAAAGAAATGGGCAACTGAACTAAACAGAACTTTTTCAGAAGAAGAAATTCAAATGGCCAGAAAAACACATGAAAAAATGTTCACCATCTCTGGCCATAAAGGAAATACAAATCAAAACTACACTAAGATTCCACCTCACTCTGTTAGAATGACTATCACCAAAAACACCAACAACAACAGATGTTGGAGAGGATGTGGGGAAAAAGGAACCCTTGTACACTGCTGGTAGGAATGCAAGCTAGTGCAACCACTCTGGAAAATAATATGGAGGCTTCTTAAAAATCTAAACAGATCTGCCATATGATCCTGCAATCCCACTCCTAGGGATATACCCAAAGAAATGCGACTCATGTTACTCCAGAGGCACCTGCACACCCATGTTTATTCCAGAGCTATTCACAATAGCCAAGTTATGGAAACAGCCAAGATGCCCCACTACTGAGGAATGGATCAAGAAAATGTATTTATACCTAATGGAATTTTACTCAGCCATGAAGAAGAATGAAATCTTATCATTCACAAGCAAATGGATAGAACTGGAGAACATCATCTTGAGCAAGGTCAGCCAGGCTCAGAAGACCAAAAGTCGTATGTTCGCCCTCATATGCAGACTTTAGATCTAGGGCAAAGGCAGTAATGTTGTTGGACTTGGGTCACATGCTAAGGGGAGAGCACATACGGGAGGAATGGGGATAGGTAGGAAACCCAAAAGTTGAAAGTGTTTGATGTGCCCACTCCAGAAGAACTAATACAGTAACCTTAAAACGACAGAGATCAATATGGGAAGGTGACTGGGAACTAGTGAAGAGGTCAGGTAGAGATGAGTCAATTCGGGTTGCAACACACTTGTGCATGGAAGCAATGCTAGGACTCTCTCTGTATAGCTATCCTTATTTCAAGTAGCAAAAACGCTTTGTCTTTCTTATTATTGCTTATGTCTACTCTTCAACAAAATTGGAGAAAAGGGAAAAACAGGTTCTCCCTGGAAGCAAGGAAGTGGAGGAGGAAGTTGGGGGTGGGGGACAGGGGGGAGAAATGGCCCAAACAATGTATATGAATATATGTATATTCATATGAATATATGAATAAAGAAAAAAAAGGAGAATGGTGGAGGGGGTGAATTCAAGTATGATATATTTGATATATTGTAAGAACTTTTGTAAATACCAGTGTACCCCCACCCAGTACAACTCTACATTTTATATGTATATATATAATTATATTTATATTTATTTATATATTTTTATATATTTTTTAATATACATTTTATTTATTTATTTATTTATTTATATGCATTTGCCAGGTATGGTGGTACTCATCTATAATTCTATCACTCAGGAGGCTGAGGCAGGAGGATTGAAAGTTCCAGGCCAACCTGGGCTACATAGCAAGACCTTGTGTCAAAAATAAAATGGAGAGCTGGTAGAGTGGCTCAAATGGTAGAGCGCCTGCTTAACCAGTCTGTAGCTCTGAGTTCAAAACCCAGTATCAGCAAAAGAAAAGTACCGTAACAGTACGTGTGAGATCAGGGTTGGGGGTGTGACTGAAGTGGTAAAGGGCTTCTCTGGCAAGCATAAGGTCCTGAGTTCAAACCCCAGCACCACTAAGTAAATAAATAAATACACAAATAAACAAATAAATAAATTTTAAAAACATTGCTAAAGGGACTGAGGAGGGGTCGGATGGCCCTAGCCCTTATGGACCGTGGTTTCCATCCCCAGCACAAAAGCAGTGCAAGAAAAATAAAACTAAAAATAAATAAATTAAATTAAAATTAAATAATAAAACTATACTCATGATATATTGTGTTTAAAAAAGGGCAAAACAATATAGTTATATAATCAATTCATTTTTTTAAAGCTGAACGTGTATTGGATGCATAAAGAATGGTGAGCACTTCCAAGGAGAGAGAGACTCTTAGAGGTCATTGGGATGAAAGCAAATTTCACTCCTACCTCTGCAACTTCTATAATGTTTGCACTTTGCAATGAGCATGTGTGTGTTTTATAATTTTTTAAATGCTAGGAAGAGCAGTGAGGGCCCAGATGAACTGATCCACTGGCTGCCTCTGAACACGTGTATGGTAAGTGTGAATACATGTACACACAGTGCGTGCACGGACATAGCGCTCTGTGGTGCATATATGAACATGTCATGGGTGTGGATACTCGTATCATGTTGTACTATGTGGTACACACATAAAAAGGGTGCCTGTGTGTATACGCACACACAAGTTCCTGTTGACTTACAGGTCACTAAATTCTGTGAAAAATATACATAACTATCTTCAAGGGGTCAATATAAGTTCAGTACAGAATGCAAAGGTGTTTTCCTGACCGATGGCTCCTTTATTTCTAGTAAGCTAGAGAACCAGCAGACTCCAGAACGAGGAAGGAGCTGGACCACGGTGCGCAGACTCTTCCCTGTGTCACCCTCTACAGCCACACAGACCCCCTGACTCAGGCTGTCAAACTCTCGTCTGCTCTTCCCACAGGAGGACTATAACCAGTTGAGGCCACTCTCCTACCCCAACACTGACGTGTTCCTCATCTGCTTCTCTGTCGTAAATCCTGCCTCCTACCACAATGTCCAGGAGGAATGGGTCCCAGAGCTGAAAGACTGCATGCCTCACGTGCCTTACGTCCTCATAGGGACCCAGGTGAAGATGCGGGTGATGGCTGGGTGGGGCGGGCTGTGGAAGAAGGAAGGACTGTCCCCAGCCATGTCTTCCACCAAATACTAAGGAAAAGTCTCAGGCGTAACACTGTAGGAATGGAAGTCCTTACAAGGTATGCATGATGATAGCCCAGAGCTGAAAAGATAAGACAGCTCTTTAATATGAAACAGGAAGTTTTGATAAAGCCTTTAAAATTAATCTCTCAACTTTTCTCTTTAAATAACAAAGTATTTTTTTAATGCACACTCTTCTTTAGTCCTGAAGTGGAAAAATGAAGTAAGGATGTTAATTTTGTAGATAATCTAACATTTTTGTAGCTGAAATCTGTGGTTGTTTTAAAATCACAAAATAGGTGTGAGGGTCAAAAAGACTCCAGCAGTGAGAGTTACGAAGAAACCCCTGTGAGCTCTCCTGGAGAAGAAAGGCAAACTCACTGCTCCCTGTTCTCCTTAAACCCTAAGGTCTTCTGGATCTTAGAAAAGAAAGTAAAACACAAACCGAGCTAAATAGACCTGGCTTATAAAAGCCTCTACAGTGTTTGTAAACTAGTCAAGTTCACAGTTTGAACTTTCACTAGTAAGCCACTTGCATAAATGGATCAGACATTGTCTGAAGTTTTTATAGTTTTAAATGGGTTCAGTTCTTTTGTTTATTAAAACCTAAATTACTATTCCAAAGACGTAAGTGTATAATAACACTGAAAGGATTTATGGTTGTCTGCTTCATATGCTGCTTCTTTCTGTTTCTCATTTTACATTTTGTTTGATAAAGCAAAATTTGAAACTCATAAAGGAAAGACAAGTATTTCCTAAAAAAAGATATGGATAGCCAGGCACCAGTGGTTCACACTTGTAATCCAAGCTAACTTGGGAGACTAAGGTTGGGAGGATCAAGGTTTGAGGCCAGCCTGGGCAACTAGTTCTCGAAACCCTCTTCTCCAAAATGGACTGGAGGCATGGCTAAAGCTGTACAGCACCTGCTGTGCAAGCACAAAGCCCTGAGTTCAAATTCCAGTCCCACCCAAAAAAAAGAATATATGGATAAATAGAGACAATATGTAGAAGAATTAATATATCAGTAAATCAGGGTACAATTAGTGCTTCTGCTTTGAAAGATAATCATTTATTTAAATGAAACCTTTTGCCTGAAAATTCCAAATATTTATGTTTTTCCATATTGACGGAGCCTGGATCCCTGCTTCCAAAGTATATGATAGAACATTACACCTTAGTGTGACTTGAGCCTGTATTATAACAGGTAGGTACTAAGTTGAACAATTGAGGGAAAAAAAAAAAACAAAAAAATGAAACAACAGAACCATAGCTTGGTAAAGCTGAGCACTGTGCTTATGAACGGGACCTCAGCAGGTGACAGATTGTTTTTCTGTAAGACACAGCCCTGTGAGCTCACCTTTAGGTTGACAATCACAGTGAAGTGGTAAAGCAACTAAAATACCTAATGGAATTATCAGATCTGAAATATGCTCCCTTCAAAGCAGTGCTGCCTTGAAAAGCTCAATGCTTCTTCACTGAGCAAGGATCTCCCTCTTTGGGACTGCCTTCGAGCTTCCTGTACACTAGTTATTTGTTAAAATAGTCTCACAGGAAGAAAATCATCACCCTCAAAGGGACGAACAAACCATCATCACCCTCAAATGATTTGGGAAAGAAAAATATATATATCCGGAGAAATCCAGGAAATAAGTAACAAACAATGAGTAACATAATTTGGAATCAAACAAGTCAAGAACACCTTGTCATCTTATATGCCCTATCAGCGAAGTCCAGAAAATTTGAAAAACACCACACAGCACCAAAATCAGAGTGAGTCCTCAGCACCCAGGGTGACTGCTCTGAAGTAGAGTGTAAGGACAAGCTGGTATGTCCACCAACAAAGAATCACCCTGCTTGTTCAGGAGGAAAAAATCCCTATCGTATCACAGTGTAAAATGTCTGATAAGGCCTGTGAAGACAAATGAGCTTATGGTTTGTGTGTTCTGTGCTAGATTGATCTCCGAGATGACCCCAAAACCTTGGCCCGCCTGCTGTACATGAAGGAGAAGCCCCTCACCTACGAGCACGGAGTGAAGCTTGCAAAAGCGGTACAGTCAGCGTTGAATTAATTTGCAGTGTATGCCCAGAGAGAAGGGTTTGGTGTGGGCTTGGAACAGGTGGGCTACACTGGGGTCTTGCTTTCAACTGGGACGGGTTGAGAATCCTCTCTCTCCCAGAAGGGCCATTTGGTTCACTTTCTTGTCAGCTAGCATTGTCTGTTTTACATTAAGATTAGAACAGCTGAAACACTTATTTCCACTTAGCAACCTCTAGAACAGAGCCTTGCCAATTGAAGGGAGTCATCAGGTGTATAACTGCAAATCTTATTGTTTATTATCTGTGCCATTCATTTTAATGACCTCATGCAAGGCATTTTGTGACTTTCTTGGGCAAGACTTATGCTAGCATCTGACAGAGTTAGATTTGTCTGGTATTTCCCTTCATATAATGAATAGCCACTTAGGCTGGATTGTGTCACACACACACACAAATTCCCATTAACAAAACAATGTATGCCTTTCTCTTATTGAAAGTTGTTGACAGATAATAAAAGTACGACCCACTTAACTAGAGACAAAGTAAGTAAGATATTTTGACTCATGCACTAGTGAGGACATCTCACAAATACTTGAATGCTTCCTACTTTGGCACCCAGTCATATTAAGACTACCAGCCTCAGCTATTCACAGAGTTCTCATGATGCTAAGCAGTTTTACAAACTTTACCTTATTTCAGGCTCATGATGACCCTCTTAAGTGGACAGTGTCTCATCTCTCAGGAGAGGAAATACAAGCTTGGGGAGATGAGCACACTCGACTTACACAGCTAAGCAGAACAAAGAAATTTGAATCCCTTTCTGGGACATGGCCGTCTGCGCACCTGACCATTGTGTAAACTGTCTCTTCCCCTGCCATATGCACTGCTGCAGGGCAAATGAGTGTGTCTGTGTATTCTCCCACCTCAGAGGCTGTTATTAACATGTGTAAGCACACAGCTCCATACATAACTGCATGTGACTCCCAGCAGGAGGTCCCAGCTGGCTCCACACCAGCTTTCTCCAGGAGCTTAGTCCCCAGTTCCTTGCTTCTGGGCCAGTCTCCCACCTGCACCCTGTCAGCTTCCTGCCTCATTTCTCACTTGGGGAGTTGTTTTTTCCCTCTGAAAAGAAGTTATACCAAAGCCTCCCATCTCGATTCAGACTTATTTTCGGAACAATGGCTGAGTTCACCAATTTATTGCCTTTTTGCCAGCTTCTCCTAGCAACTGCACTCAGATGCAGAGAGAATCACATTTAACTTACAAAATCCAATTTAGAAGAAAACCAAGAGAGATTTTAACTTGTTTCATCACAATTCATGTAATTATAGGGATGCTGGAAGTTTCTCTACTCTTTGACTTCTCTGTGGAGTAGTTTATAACAGCCAGGATTTGTGGAGTGTTTATCTTGTGCTAGGCTGAATGCCAAGCGCTCTCCAAACTTCATCTTAATTACTCCTCACAGCAACCCCCTGAGGTGTGTATATTATTATCTCCCCTTTCCCAAAGGAAACTGAGTCTCAGAGAGGTCAAGGTCACGCATCTAGAACTCGCCAGACTGAGGATACGAAGCCATGCTTTAACCACAGTGCTTTTCTGCTCCCTCCCATAACCAGAAAAGACACGCTTAGGTTTGGGGCTTCTTTTCTTATATTCTGAACACCATATTTTAATGTGTAAAGCTCAAGTACATCGTAGATTCTGAGTTCTCATAACTGGTTCTTTTCCTTCAGTGCCTTTTGATTTCCAAAGCATTTTTCATATATGGTCATCGGGTTTTTTATTTCAAAGGGCATTTTATTTTCAAACAATGTTTCCATAGCATACATACTTCTATACTTTACATTCCAAAGCTAAGTGCATTTACATAAGTGTTTTGCACTAATTTATAATATTATTCCTTATTATCCTTTGTTTTATCCTCCCTCTTCTTTTAATTATTTTTTTTAAACCTCAGCCTACACATCTGTAAATGTCCACATTACTTCTAGATTTACTCAATAATAATTACAAAACACCTACCATTACCAGGTGTTTTACTAGTTGCTACACATCTAAGTTCAAACTTCCTAAAGGGTTTTTTTCGGGGAGAAGGAGGCAGGAAAGGAGTAGGGGAGCCGGTTGGGTTTTTTTGTGACAGGGCCTCAGATTGTCCCCCCAGGCTAGCCTCAAATTCATGATCCTCCTACCTCAGCCTCCCAAATGCTGGGATTGCCAGCACTTGGTTTAGACTTCCTAGGATATTTCTTGATGCAACACTTTCCTACTTGTCTTTTTTTCCCATCTTTAGCCTTCCTTGCTCCTCCCCCAGTCCCTTCTGTTGCTGTAACTTGGCACCTGTTTCCTGCCGGGTTTTAAGGAGCACAGGTGGGATCAAAGCAGCAAAATTGCATTGACCTGAAATCAATGTCCAGTCGAGTGAGAACGAAAGGCAGCCTTCCACCCCCTCGGGGATGAAGCAGTCAGAGTCTGCCTCGTTGCATGTGTTGGTTGTTTCTTCTTTCCCTGTGCTCATGGGAAGCTGCTCACTTCACCCATGGCAACTGCGTTCCAGGGGCACTTAGGCCAGAAGAGGAGGGAGGTGGGCACACAAGCCCACGTCGCTGAATGGGCAGTTACAGACACTGGGCACAACATTAAAGCAGCAGGGAGGGGTCAGAGGAGACTTAACACTGTGACATGTCAGCCAAGTATTATCGAGGCTGAGGATGGATTTGTCAGGTAGACAGAGGACAGGGAACAAAAATTCCAGACAGGGAACCCAGCATGTTCAAAGGCATCTTTTAAGGCACATGAAGCAAACTGGAAACTGACAGGCCAAATTCTACCCACAAATATTTTTATCCCTCTACACAGGTATTGAGTGGGCACGATTTAACACTTAGGAAGCTCTTTCATCTTCTGTACATCTATGGTGTATTTTCCAGCTTTGGAAACAGTTTTAGCTATTGTAAAAATTATCAGAATTGTTCAGTCTGTTTACAACTTCAATCTCTACATTTTTCTTGAAAATCTGTCGGGGTTCCAGATCACTAACGCGTGTCTAAACAAGGAGTCTTCTCCAAATCCTGAGCTCTTCCAGATGGACTCTAAATGTTTGGCTGAGTATGTCATTTTGCTCTGAGAATGAAGTTGCTACTAGAAGACTTGAGATGATTTTCCATTTCACATCTTTTATGACACAAATGATTTTTTTTTAGCAACCTCTCTAACGTGGCTGTGCCTCTTCTCTGAAGTAAGATGAATTCTCTCTGACTCTCAGAGCACTTCAAACAGAACCTCATCACTGGGTTCTGTTTCTCACAAATACTTCCCAAACTACACCCAAAATCTGTTGGCTACTTTCCCTGACCATCAGTACAATGTACTGTTATGTTAACCTCGTCACATAATAATTCCTTTCTCTACTGTTTCATCATCCCCAGTGATGTCAGAATTGAGAGAGACAAGTTTGGGCTCATCCTGCATCCTCTAAAGGCAAACTCTGACAGACTAGCAGTTGGTGGTGCTTCACTGGGGAGGAGGCAGAGGAGAGAGTGTCCCATCCATCTTGCAGGACCCCAGTATGAAGAGAGTTCAGCCCAGCTCTCCTGGGATTTCCAGAATAAGTTTGAGGCTGTGGTCATTTGTAGGGTGGTTTCACACACAGAATGGCCCATAACACTTTCTAGGTATTTTTCAATTTGACTGGCAAGAGTCATTCTATTACAAGAAGTCCTTCAGTTGGTCCATTTCCATTAAATTAGTGTGCTTTTCATGTGTGTTTATATCAAACATAGACCCAATCCCCAAATGCAATAGATGGCACTTCATGACATAATTAAGAAATTTTTCTCTGACTGTTGTTGTTCTCTCATATCCTACTGTTTTTAATTATTTCATAAAGAAAGTTATTTCCCAATCTAAAGGCCAAACCATGGTCAAAATGAAAGCCATAAAATATGTTTTCAACATCCACTGATGGTTTCAATACCGTATTTTCCTTTGGCTCATACAGTAACCATTCTTGTCAGCACAAAACAAAACCAAAAAAAAAAAAAAAAGAACATAATATCTGTTGGAGAAGTTAAGAAATCATTTCCAGGCCTATCCAAAAATGACTTTATTTCATATTCTGTCTACTGACCTTTCAAATAAGTGAGCAGCTTCATTTCATTGATGGTCAACCTGACAAACTTCTTTCTGGGCTAAATGATGGAGGTCACAGAGTCCATCATGAAACAGGAAAGGAGCACACATTAAGAGAGCCAGAGTTTAAGCCTGGTCTTTTCACTTTCTAGTTAATGCCCTCAAGTGATTCATTTTAACTTCCTGGAGCTGTGCCTACTCTAGTCTAAACTAAACCCCACCAACTGGTTATAGTCAAACATCAGTGTCCTCACTGGCCTACAGAATGTCTTATAAATTTGGTGAATATTAAACAAAAATCCAAATTCCCAGCTCCTTTGAAAAATATACACGTGAGCAGTCATCACCCAACCTTCCCATGTGGAAGAAGACTAAGACCTCCCACTCTAGCAGGAGCCTGTACTTTACCATGCACCACAGTCCTCACCTCTCCTTATTGTTGGGCACCAGCCCTACTTTTTTCATTTGCATATACTACTAGCCACACAGGCATGCGGTTTTCTGCCATTATAGCTGTTCATTGGCCATTGTTTTCAGGGGTTCATCATCCCCCCAAACTCTCCTAAATCTGCTTTAATTCTTCTTTTGTTTTTGTTTTTTGTTTTTTTTTCAGTACTGGGGCTTGAACTCAGGGTCTTCACCTTGAGCCACTCCACCATCCCTTTTTTGTGATGGATATTTTCGACATAGGGTCTCATGAACTATTTGCCTGGCTGGCTTGGAACTGTGGTTCTCCTGATCTCTGCTTCCTAAGTAGCTAGGATTACAGGTGTGAGCCACCAGTGCCCAGCTGCTTTAATTCTTCAAAGTTAGCCTCACAATATGAAACAAAAATAAGAGCGTTTCTCCAGATGTTCTTACTATGAAGAAGCCCACATCATATCGCTGGCTTCTGCTGAGTTTGTAAGCAATTAATAATTAATACTCCAGGTCTCCTTCAATGAAGCTGACTGCCAACCATAGTCTTCATGGTCTGTGATTTTCTTAATGAGAATCTATACTTCTGGCCTGAATTTCTAGGTTTCTCATGGGGATTTTGTAATTACCAAATACACCATCATAGGAAATCATCAAAAAGCTTTGAAATAAAGCCTTAGGCAAAGACAAAATACATTGTCATTTAAATATGTAGACTGGGCACTGGGTGCAGTGGTATAAATCTGTACACATCTGTAATGCCAGCCCTCAGGAGGCAGAAGCAGGAGAATCGAGAGTTCTGGGCATCTGGGCTGTATATCAAGTTTGAGGCCAGTCCAAGCTGCATTGTGGAACCCTGTCTCAAAAACTGAAGGGGATATAGGTCAGTCAGACACCACATGCAACACAAGGTAATGGGTTGCACCCCCAGCACCTCAAAGTAAGTGAGGAAATAAATTTACAAATTGTACACTGACGAGGAGCAGTGTCTCTGTCAATAAATGTACCCATGACTTTTATTATGTTTTGGTTTTTAACTTCTTAAAATATATTTTTTAAAGTATGTTGAAACTGAATAATTATGCCAATCAGATATTACCTTGCTGAGAGATATCTTATCAGAAGTACATTTCAATCAAGAGTGACCCATAAATCCTACCACCCACTCTCTTTCTAGATGCTTTATCAGTCAGGTTGACACTTTGTTTACTACACACAGGAGATACATGACACTTGATTTGATTTCTGTATTCTGCATACAAATGAGAAGATACTGAAACATCACACAACCCTGTTTTTCACAAAATATATTCGAACCATACCACTGCATCCTCTCCTAATTTTTTATATTTTCATATTCTTATGTTAGGAGTAAATAGTTGTGGATCACTTTCAGGATTTATTACTTACCAAAAGTGATCCACAACCATTTATTGCCTTGATATAGGAATGTCAAAAATACAAAAATTTAGAGTAGCAGATGCAAATTGGAATGCAAAAGAGAAAACATAATCCAGACAAAACCCCAGGCTGTTTGTGGGACAAGCAGAAGTGAGGACGTGGCTGGGCAGAGGGTGGATACCCCTGTGTTTTGCTCTCTTTCTCCCCACCCCCTACTCATGACTTTCTCTCTGTTTAAGATCGGAGCACAATGCTACTTGGAGTGTTCGGCCCTGACTCAGAAAGGTCTCAAAGCAGTTTTTGATGAAGCAATCCTCACCATTTTCCACCCCAAGAAAAAGAAGAAAGGCTGTTCTGAGTGCCACAGCTGCTCAATTATCTGAGGTTGCCTGAGACCCGCCTCCACCCCATCCAACGATGAGAATGGCAGCTAACCTCTGCCACCCAGCTCCAGCCAAAAAGGAGGGCGAGACCAGAAAGGAATTCCCGCACACAGAGGCCTGCCTTCCACCCTGCAAGCCCTCCTGTCACACCATCATGTCAGCCGACCACCATGTCCCTGCCAGACAGAAGCCTCCACACTGCGCTCACCAAGAATGCTGAGCCCTGACTTCAGAAGGTGCCCCTGCTGGACACTTTGGAAACCAGGTCAAAGGCCATCTTGCATTTCACTTCTCCTCTCCCCTGAATGTGAAGCTGATGGGAGATCATCACAGGAAAGCCAGAGGAGGACATGGTTCCTGTACTGTGGCCTTACTTGATGTCTTTCACAAAACCGGGGAATGCAACACTAACTTTTCTTTCTGGTTCTGCTTTTATACCCACGTGTCTTATGTTCATTTATATTATTTCAGGCAATTTTCTAATTTCCAGCTTACTCAGGCCTTATGAATCCATACCAAAGTAGCCTAAAGACAAGGTGACTTAATTCATTTCTATTTCCAGCAGGTTTCTACCAAAGTTGTCAGAACCAATATGTACCTCTGAATGCCTGGTTATAAGAAGACACGGGAAAACTTTAAAACTTTACAGATTTAAAGCCACAATTTTTGGAACTGGCTGGAAGAAAACATCATCTGAACTATAGCAGGTCCATAATTTTGCCAAAGACTCACCCTACAAATGCTTAAGTTCATAAATCCTTTGCTTTTCTCCCATCTTATAATGTCATACGAACTAAAAGTGAACTGTGTGTAAGAAAATAGTATTTCTGCTTTTCGTTCAAATTGGACAAGGTGGGCTGGAGGCATGGCTCAAGTAGTAGAGTGCCTGCCTAGCAAGCACAAAGCCCTGAGTTTAAACTCCAGTACTGCCAAAACAAAAATCAAAGTGACCAGGACAAGAATATGGCTGAAAATATCTTTTAAAATATTTTTTATTCAGCCAAGTGAACTAAACTGCTCCCTCTCTCGATTTTACACTTTCTTCTGTGCCCAATTCCTTTTATCTTCCCAGTTGTAACCCAACCTAAAAGAAGAATCTGGGCATAGGACATGAAAAAGCAAACATTTCCAAATCCCCAGAGGTTGAACAAAGCCCCAATTTTTCCACTTGCTTCAACTCAAAGCGCTTCTCACATGCCCCAGGGAAGCTCCCATTCCACTAAGATGACATTTTCCAGTTACAACTAAATTAAATTACTGTCTCTCTTTCCTTACTCATTCTCCCAAATCTCTCTTAGGAAGTAGGTTTGCGTGTGCCAAGCTCTGGAACCATTCGTAGAATAATACACATTCAGCAGAGGCTTGGGCTTGGGGAAGGAAATACCCTCAATAAGTAATCACGTGTCTTTGCTCCAGGACACTTCCAAACACCCAGGAATTCTCAGCATAGAGTGAGTTTGCTCCTACTGTTTAATTGGAGGCTAAAATGACCTCTCTTCAGTCTTCCTTGCTTACAAATGCCCTAGAATCTCTCAGATAGGCATTTAATTGCATACTCCAAGCATATCTTTTCATTATGGAATTACGCCAATTTTATTCCAGAGTCAAACTCACTCTGTTGGAAAAAAAAAAGTCAGTCTTTCTAGTCTCTTCAGCTCCTAGTAGAACCACACAGAAAACAATTGTGTCATATGAGTCTTTTCTCTTAAGATCTTCCCTGACACTCCTTCAGTTTTTTGAGTTCTTTTTGTTTAGCATTTCTAATATGCACGTTCCCTTCTCCCACACTTCAAGTGCTATTTCTCTTTTCTCCCATCTAATTGCTGCACATTTTCCTAAATATATACACACACACACACACATACCATCTAAAGGGAAACGGTTTTGTAAGTCAAAACTTGACATTTAGAGAAAACTGGACTTTTTGACTTGGTAGGTGGAAATCAACTGTGTATGAACTATAACTCTGCAGAGATTACAGAGTATCCTTTCCAAACAATAATGAACATTTAGCCATCATAAAGGAAGTGCTATTAGCCAGCTTTGTTAAATTATTGCATAGCTAGATCTTGCTAAAGGCCACTTCTCAGTTATTGATGTGGATGAAAAATTGAAAGCAGTGTGTTGGCTCTATCAAGAATTTTCCAGATGTGTGCACTCAACAGGCAAATAGCTCCCTAAAGGCCCACTCAGATTAACTTGTTCATGGCAGGAAGATTGCCCTCACACCTAAAACCAGAACCCAAATAAAGACTCAGTGTCTGAATGGAGCTCAGTCTCCAAGAGGTTCTAGGAGTTAATTACTAAGCAAAACACATTTTGTAGAACAAAGCATCCTAAATGAGGTAATGTCACTCCACCAAACTAATCATTCATTCTTTTTTTTAATAGCAAAATGGACTATCATTTCAATAGAAATGATATTTCTCCCATACAATTATTCTGAAATCAAAAATAGAAAGAGAACTGAGGGCATGGTTCAAGTGATAGAACACTTGCCTGGCAAGCACAAGAACCTGAGTTCAGTCCCCAGCACCACAAAAAATGAGTAAGTAAATAAAAAGAGACGGAAACCTGAAGAAAGTTCCTTTAACCATCCACGCTATCTCCTAAAGTCAACAAGCAGCAGCTGATCTCCATGTGAGGGTAATCTTAACTTTCCAAAGCTAGAAAAGGTCTCAGAAACCATAGTCCAATTCCTTAGTACGCAGATGGGAAATTTGGCCTAGATGGGTCAGGAGAGGTGGCTTGCGGCTAAGCTGGGACCGATCTCAGCTTTTCAGCTTCCCATCCAGCACCCTTCATCTCCACACTACAATTTATTCATCATCATGTATAGAGTTGGAGTTTTGTGGGGACTTACTATTGCGGTTACGTTTGTTTATTCTGCAGATTCCAGCCATATTCTGAACAAATAATTTCAGATAGTTAGGCCACTGTAAACAGGATTAAATCCATCAAGCTGGTTGGAAACTAGGGACAAGAATTTGATCTCTGTACTAGTAAGCCTGAGTCCAGAGAACACAGCAATGTGATCCCAATCTAGCGGCTCAATCAGGCAGGCCGCTTTACAGATATTTTTCACTCAGGAGATTGGTTGTTTGATAGTATTAATGGACTCCTTGGACTATTTTGGAAATACAAAAGGAAAAAGACACAAGTCAAAGCCATGTCCACAGTAAGAAAGCTGGGCTGATTTCTGCCAAGGATAATGAAACTCAAAGGACAATTACAGAAAGTATTAATTGGGCTGGGGATGTGACTCTAATGGTAAAGCACCTGACTAGCAAACACCAAGCCCAAAGTTCAAATCCAGTCCCCTAAAAAAAAAGAATTAATAGCAGTAACTAAAGCAACCCTAAACTAGGAAGCACTAGGTGGGAAAACTAAGTCCTACCTATATGACAGGAAGAGGGTTTTGATTCTGAGACTTCAATGACAAAATGATCAGGATATGCAAAGAACAATTTGGAAGATTTCTGGTCCATAAGAGAAGTGCCAAATGAAGCAATGTACACAATTTAAACTGGACCACCAATAATGGTAAAAGAACAAACACAACTGTATTCAGAATTTTAGGAAAAACTAAAGGAAACTAAATCCAGAATTTGAATACAACAAAAAATTGTCATAATTTAGGGTATAAGTTCCTGTGAGCAGTCGTCTCAGTAGGTAGAGCATCTTTAAGAAGAAATATTTGACTTGAGGCAAGCCTCTTAAAATACCATATAACAGAAGCAAGAATGGTGACAAATGCCTGTAATCTCAGCACCAAGGACCCAGAGCTATATAGCAAGATAGTGTCTCACCAAAAAAAGATCATAAAGGAAAATTCATTCATGAGACCAAAGTGATGGAAGATTACAAATTGAAGTTTTACTTTAAAGGCATCTTTGACATCATCCTGGACATAATATCGTATAAGTTATCTGGTTCATTTTTATATCTATACTGTTTAACTGTCAGGATGGGAAATGCAATTCTCTCTCCACAGAGAGAACCACAGACCCCTAAGCAATTCTCCTAAGAGTCACCCAGTAGGCTGCCCACGTACAAATAAGGAAACTCAAAAAAATATTGTGATTTCCAGGACCAATGGAAAGAGAAAGGAAAAGAGAGGTCAGAGAAACTGACCTGTTTCTTTCTTACAAAAGAAGCTGGGCACGTTTTGAAAAAAGGAAGCATTTAGAGAATGGAGAGGAAGCTAAAGGCAAAACACACACCTGACAATTCTGGAGAGCTGTTGTCTTGGCCGAGTCTCCAGAGGCATAGGAAGACAGGAGGAGTGTTCACGTGGTGAGCATTCCTGACTGGCAGGGCTAACCCTGTGATAGTCCTGGGTAACTCCCCTCATGGCTCTCTACAAATGAATGAAATCCTGGACAGTAGTCTTCCTGTCTTTCACCTTCTCTACTTATACACAGCAGTCAAGGGCAACTTACCAAGCAATCTGAGTCAATAAATAATTTCAGAAAGTTTCTTTGAGCATGAACATGATATAAAACCTAAAAACAGTAACTCTGGGATACCTAGAAAGATAGTTGTATGAATGATATTTATTCATCTTCAGCGGGACATTTCTAAGTAGAAATATTATATTCAATGTGCACAAATGCAATAATAGGTTGCAAAAATATAAAACAAAGCAATAATTCATGGTGCTTCCATGGTCAACAAGGACCAGAAAGGAAATCAGAGCAGCCTAGCTTCAGCCGTCAGGGGCTCAGCCAGGCTCTTTTGGGATCTCTTTATAGGGGGAGGTATGAATCAAGGAGAATTTGGCTCATCTGTGGGATGCAAGTCCCACAACAGCTCTTGGCTTTGCAATTCCAATACAGGAAATGAGAGTAAAAGCTACATGAGTAATCTTGATCACAATCAATTTTTTTTCTCCTCAGGAGATAGATACTCATCAAAACCTAGGGTTGTTTGGCGCATGTGCGTTTTAAACATGCACCAAACATGATTTCATTTTGCTCTGTGAGTTCTGCAGTGGCTCAGGAGTTAAGGATACATCACTGGAGTAATTTTGTTGCATTTTTGTCATGTCCTCCAAGGCTCTTATATGTTCAGGTATCTCTGTTGAACAGGGTCTGATCCGTGTGACGAGAGGACCTGCTGTCTTGGGCACTCTGAGGACAGGTAGCCTTACTTAGTCCTCAGCCTCCCAGTGACCTGCACAAGTCAGTCTTCTGAGCTTATGTTAGCTCTTTGGGGGGGAAAAAAAACACTATCCGAGTAGAAAAATATGTAAATACACGTTTAAAATTATCTCTACACATCACTTTTCAAAATCATTTTTTAAGCGATCAGATTATTTTCTACTCAAGGAGTCACATTCTTATCACCTGGAGAAATTGTCTTTTGCTCTAAGTAAACAGCGATTACTGTGTAAGTACATCTCTGCAGAATTTTTCCCCAACTGCCACAGTTCCTGTGTGCCCAACGTAATGTCTACAGTGAAGGATGTATCCCTGACCTGCTCATGGGCTGGTGTTCTCAACAATCCGCATCTCGTGTAATGGTTAGTTTATGTACCTTTTTCATAAGTAATGGAATATTATTTCATGTAATCTTTAACCTTGCAATTTATCTTGTACCATGTTCTGAGACTCAAGTCATTAAATACGTTTTTTTCCTACTCTTCTTTGTGGGTCATCTGAGGGTGTCTCCATCGGCCACTCATGCAAATTGTTTTCTGGGAAGCTGTCTAGCCCCTTGCTACTCAAAATGTCGCTCAGGAACTGGCAGCATCAGCACCACCAAGCAGCTGATTAGGACTGTAGCATCTCTGGCCCAGTCCAGACCTAC